AAGATTCATTTACATGACTATAATAAGGCCTATTTGGACTTACGGAGTTGAGCTTTGGGGCTCCACTAAGCCATCGAATACCTCTCGTATCCAATCCTTACAATCCAAAATCCTTCGTAAAATCCTCAATGCTCCTTATTTTGTTACAAATAAAATCATCCATAATGACCTTAATGTTCCTTATGTATCAGATTTGGCCCAATCCAGATATCTATCCTCCAATAATAAACTTCATAACCATCCCAACCCTCGTGTTTCTATCCTTGCTTCCTATTCAATTCCTGATAACCCTCCGAGGCGTCTGAAAAGAAGATGGCCATGTGATCTCCTAATATAGACATAATATTAGAGTGCTACCAATGGGTAGTTTCTCAACATGTGTTTCATGTCATTATATCCATGTGCGAATTTACCAGATGTATTTTTTGTATACAGTTGTAAATACCATATAAATAAATAAATAAAAAATAAAAATTTCTCGAGGTAACCCCAAAGCAATTAGAATTAACTTCAAACAGACATTTTACGTTTAATAAGAAAAACCATTGTTAATGAATGAAAGAATTTATACGATTGGGAATATTAATGCAATGGAAGAGACTCACACATCTCAGCTCCCTTCCTTACTTTCCTCTACTTTAACTCAATAACAGTCATTTTTTCCCAACAGTCAAAAACCTAGGGGTAACATTTCAACAAAACCTCTGCTGGAATAACCATATCTCCCAAATTACCCGAAAATCCATAACTGTATTTAAACAACTCCTAAGATTCCGTGATTGTTTTCCTCTAAAAAATAGACCGCTCCTTGTAACTTCCCTTATATTCACCCACTGGCTGCTTGTATGCAGGGCTATCTGCCAGGCCAGAAATGAGACAAGACATTCATAAACTGTTTCATCAGATACATTTTCGGTATCCCCAGGCCTTCTCATTTTTCATTCTGGTACACCGAGTTGAAGTGGCTTTATCCTACTTCCCGACGACAATTCCTTCTTGGTGTTTCCCGGAAATACTGATTCTACGTTTCGCCATCCACTCTCTTAATACTAGGTCTCAACCTATAGATTTTTATACCCCCTCCCATAAAACTACTTCCTTCAGCAAATCCTTCGTCATTAGTGCTAACTCCTTTTGGAGTTCTCTTCCTACTTCGTCCACAAATTCCTTCAAACAACTCCTGCTCCACATTCAAACGTCCGTAAACATTTAAAATTACATGCGTATGTACACTGTTTAATTCAATAAACTGCACAATTGCAATAACAATCAACAGTTAATTAGTTTCTATTTTGTATCCGTCTAATCCAGACTAAGACCCTTAAATTTGTAACTTTGTTATTATTCTTAGGGTACTGTAATCCAAAAATCAAATTATTTTTTTATTCATTCATTATTAAATCCACCCAAAAATTTCTTTTATGCCGTGGTTCCTCTCAATCGGATTTTATTTGAAAATAAACGATTTGCTAAATCTAATTAGGTTCAAAACCAATCATAAGAATATAAATAAATTCTTAAATTTGGTAATACCAAATTATGAGCTATGTGACGAAATCTAGGAAACGGTCAACCATCTTTACACCATTAGAAACCTACTACAGCGGGGCCAACAAGATACAAGATACAAACGAACAACCGAAACGTCGGCATAACTAATAAAATACTATTCTAGTTTATAGTATTTATTTGACGGCACTAACTCCTTCTCATATTTTATTTGTAATTGAAATATAATCTGTCCCTTTTTAATTATTTTTTCTGGCTTTGCAGAAATAGATCAATCAGTTACCTTTTGTACGAATACTATTTCCAGTCAGTATAGCTGAACAATAAAGCAATTCCAAAACCTTTCTTAGAATAAAAGCTCATATTTAGTTGGCATAGCATCGAACAAAAACCTTTTATGTTTCTTAAAAAAGGAGATTTACTTCATTGCATTTTCCAACTTAATAGTACGATCAAGGCAAGTAATTATTTATTATTGTAATTATACGGTATTATACGCTGCTGTTTTTTTCATGCTGTAATACCTATTACAGTGGGCTTAAAATGGAATTAAAAAAAAAAAGTTTGTAATTAGATTTGTATTTTATTTTACTACGCATCGTAAAAGAAAAAAGCACCAGTTTAAAAGGAAATGGACTCGAATAACGTTCCTTTTATGGCATCTGTTTGATCTTATCAAAATAAATTATACTTATTTCTTTCTGTTCTGCTGCGTGAACCAGATATTTAGTTTTTATATTTAATGAGAGATAAGAACAAAAGCCTTATTATGTTTTTTATAAGAAATATTTCTGACCTGAGGATTTTTTTATTAAACTTAATTTCTTTACCCATACCTGTCAGATGTACTGACAATTAGCAAGTCTGTTATCGGGAAGAATGCTGGATTGATAGGTATAAGGGAGTTAGTGCACAGCGACATCCGTTCTTGAATTGATTTTAATATATTTTTAGGCAAAGGAATCCCACATCCAGCTTCTTTTGAGCCTCCTAAGCATGGTTTCGGTCATTTTAATCGTGATCATGTCTTGTTTGAGTATGTTAGTATGTCTATGCAAGTTGTCACGACATATTTTCTATGTTAAAAATTAAAACGTTAAAGAATGTTGTGTGTATCAATTATCTCAAAAATAAACTGAAAATGCATATTTAAGGTTTTGTTCTAAAATGTTACAGCAACTTTTTCGGCAAAATCCAGATTATATAATTTATTTTTCAATTTTTTTTTAAATTTCTCAAAAACGGCTCGAAAGATGTTGATTTAATTCATCATATAAATGTATAATTAAACATTTTTTATTTAGTTAATCAACCAGATGTTATCACATGTAACCTACACTGGTTTGTTATCCACTGATATCTTATTTTTATTTTATTACAACTTTGTACCTTTTATATTTTGCATTCTGTAGCCCTGATGAAGACCCACAAAATGGGTCTAAATTTCGGCGGAACCAATATAATATTATTGTAGTATATAGTATTTAATTTGACCACACCCGATCATTCTCATATATATTTTTTTTAGTATTTATACTATTTATATTTATGTACTATTCTTTACTATTACTAATTTACTTCAATCAGCAACGTTTACCTAATAAGAAAAATGTTCTCCCACAAAAATAAAACAACACAAAATTTAAAACTTTTGTTTATTTTTAATCATTTTGATATTAGATAAAAGTGAACTTTTAAAGTGAAATTTTTTTTGTTAATTATCTACCAAAAACTCCTTCAATTGTTGTTCCATATTTTGTTGGGCTTTCATTTGGATGACATACAAATCTGATGTTGTTTTCAAATTAATCAATAGTAATTCGTCGAAAAACTATAAAGGACAACACAAAATCGAATAGAAACGCTTAATTTCTCATTAATTACAATTAATTGAATAGTTGGTTCCTGAATTTTAGTATGTATTTAAATTCTGAGATATTTTAGTTCAAATATTGAAAACAGTCATTACTTTTTGGCTTCGTTTCAAAATATAATTTTGAATTATAACTCATTACAAAGAGGGTGAAATGCTTAATGTTTTTCTGGATTTGAGTATGAAGGTCCGAATTTGAGTTTTTGAGATATTTTAATCAAACTCGTTTTCATTTGGTTTTTGACAATATCGTTTTCTTCTCTGACGCAGATAGGCAACAAGATACAATTTTTAATAATAGCTCATTACAAAAAGGGTGATATACTGAACATTTTGCTTACATACAGTATGCAGGTCCGATTTTTATTTTTTGATATATTTCAATCATAGTGCAAAAATTAGAATGGACGTATTTGAGCGTGACGCACTAATCTAATTCGATAACCACAAAATAAATTACTAAGCGCGCCTAAATAACTCTCATTCCAAAAAAGGGTGGAGAAAAAATTATTGTTTAATTTAATTGTCTTAATCATATATTGTCTTAAGGATAGAAGAGTATGCTGTGTGTATAGCAACCCAATGGAATTGGGCAGCAATCCTTTATATTTTATATTTTATGAAAATAAAGTGTTTCTCTCTCTCTCTCAGCTAAATGGGAACAGAAATCCGGTTGAACAGAAAAATAATACAGGCTAGTTTCGATTTTTCTCTCTTATATTCACTTTCTTCATTTGGGTTTACTTGCAAAGTAATAAGGTGTACAAAAAAACTGATTGTTTTATAAATTTATTTTTTATTATTATTATTTATAAAATTTACAATTGTACATTTAATACACATTCAGCAAATGTGATACAGATAAATACATAATATGACAAGGCTTGTAGAGAATCTAACCATTGGTAACACTCTAATAAACTTTAGACGCCTCGGAGGGTTATCAGAAATCGAGGAGGAAGCAAGGTTAGAAACGAGAGAATTAGGATGGTTCTGAAGTTACTTATAGAAGGATAGGTATCTGGATTGGACCAAATCGGAAACATATGGAACATTAAGGTCATTATAGATGATTTTATTTGTAACAAAATAAGGAGCATTGAGGAATTTACGAAGGATTTTGGATTGTACGGATTGTATGCGAGAGGAATTCGATGGTTTAGTGGAGCCCCAAAGCTCAACTCCGTAAGTCCAAATAGGTCGTATTATGGTCATGTATATGAGTCTTTTGTAATTAATTGAAAGGTTAGAGCGTTTGTCAAGTAAGTGCTTAATTAGTCGAGCTGTTTCTAGTCGTTTCAGTCTGGTATGAGGATTCTACGTTATACGTTTGTCCAGGTGGTGTCCTAGATATCAAATTCAGGATTTCAAAGGATTGTAAATATTTTAATCCTATTTAATACTTACCAATATTTAATAATTCCTTTAGAGCATTCTCTAAGCTTGTTTAATCCCATTCGACAAAAAAAGGCTCACTTTAGTTATTTGCTTAAAAAAAATCATATAACAAAAAAAGAGACATTATCCTGCGGAATTCTCTTAATTTTAAGGTATTACTGGGAAAAAATAGTTCACTGTAGTTGAGCAACTCGTGAAATTATTAAAGATGAGGTGAAAAATGTCCTTGACCAGCGCACAGTGCGGCGTTGGATGGAAAACTTTAGGAGTAGAGATAGGACGTTGGAAAAGATGGAGGCTACCATTAATGGATATTGATGAGGTTCTGCAGCTGTTGAATCAAATGCTCGGGAACTTTGGAGTGTGGTGTGTCGATAGATACTGTTTGTCGCCATCTACTCTCCATGAGGAATTTGCGAAAGAGCAGTAAACTGATCCCTCACGAACTTAATCCTCAGCAATCAGCTAAGAGGTTAGAAATTTGTGAAAATTTGTTGAAAACTCCTTGTTTCAACTATTATATAATCCAGACCTCGGATTACTACTTTTTTAGATCTATGGCCCATTTTCTTCAAGGGAAAAATTGATAATTTTGCGAAAGTTGAAATTGTTGTCCAAGAGTTCTTTGACAGCCATCCCTAAGAATGGTATCAGCGTAGGATCGAGCTTTGAGATGGCTCATGACGATAGATAACAATGGACTATACTTTGACCATTAATTGTATTTTATATCAAAGAAATAATAATACAAATATTTGGTTGAAAAACTTTTTTTTTTTTTGTTTTTTTTTATTCACTGGATTATATTAATTTGTAATCTATAAAATATATTATTTTTGTTTATTTATTCACTTTTGCATTATAGCTATATTTGCATGAATAAAAATAATTTTAATATTCTGGGACTGGTGTCCCTTTAGAACAAATTATAAATAGAGAATATATAGAATAGGAAAGAATAGAAAATTAAACTTTATTCTGGGACTCCCTTTAGAATAACAATGATGAGTTAATACAAAGTAAAGTACAAATCTGGACAAAAACTAACTTCTAAAAATTTTAATATTATATACATTATTTAAAAATTATTTAACCAGTAAAACATAAAAAATAAAATATATATACAAATGAACATAAAATCTTCTCAAAATTACTTAATTGTGATGAAAAAAAAAAAAAAAAAAAAAGAAGAGAAATTACATATTTATATATACATAAGTACACAATTTATAAACAATAGGCTATCTAATAGAAAACTAACTTAATACAGAATGAAATAATATCTACAGTGGTTTATATAATAATATGCAGACACTAAGATAAAATAAAGTCTTACGATACTTGTGGTGTAACGAAAAAAAAAATAATTAAAAGGAACTATTTATACGTACATTCTCATATTGGCACACATAAAGACAAAGATATAAAATATGAACATATATACACGAAAAAAAAAAAAGGCACAACCTGAGGAGAAGAGAAAAATAAATAAATAGGAAAAATAATAGTCAAACTAGGTGACAAAGATCATTGCTGTTTTATGTTAAAACTTAAACAGTATTCACCTCTATTTACTTCACGCAAATTCAGTTCATAAAATGAAATTTATGGTGGTAATTCTTCTGTTTGGGATGTAAGGAGATATTGGAAAAGGAGGTATATATATATATATATATATACATATATATATTATCATTCTGGTGTGTAGACAAAATACAATTAAATATTTACATAATGATTGATAATGGAATAAAAGTAGAGATATTGAAAAGATATAAAAGCGTACATAAATATAAAATAAACAGAGGAATTAAAATAAATAAACAAATTATCAATAGATCACAAAATAAATAGATTTGCCATTATGTTGTGCCTCATCTAGCAAATGTGTTGCCGTTTATTCTATCTTCTTTTATTTTTTTTACATACGAGTTTACATTGTCAGATCTATAGTCCATTGCCTTTTTAGACGTCTTTGAGGCTCACCAGGTAACAGGGAGGAAGAAAAAGATAGGACGAGTGTGTTTTATGATTGAGAGTAGAATAATGGAATGTTGTGTACTTGTTATGTACGAGAATTTTATATGGTTATATCCTCGTATGTAGGATTTTACTTTTGGTTTGGTAGGTTGGTTACGGGTTGTCCTAGGCGATCAACAACTAGGTTATAGCGCCCTTCAGTTATTCTTTTGCTATGTTTATATATTTAATATATTTATTATTATATTATATATTTAATATATTTATTATTATATTATTATATATATATATATATATATATATTAAAATCATAAAATTATATAACAATTTTACATGAACTTGTTGGAAACATATTTGCTTTCAAATTTATTTTGCCTTACGGGGTTGAGCTATGGGGCTCCGCCAAGCCTTCAAATTCCTCTCGCATACAGTCCTTGCAATTCAAAATCCTTCGTAAAATCCTCAATGCTCCTTACTTTGTTACAAATAAAATTATCCATAATGACCTTAATGTTCCTTATGTATCAGATTTGGCCCAATCCAGATATCTGTCCTTCCATAATAAACTTCATAACCATCCCAACCCTCTTGTCTCTAACCTTGCTTCCTATTCGATTCCTGATAACCCTCCGAGGCGTCTGAAAAGAAGATGGCCACGTGATCTTCTAATATAGACATATTATTAGAGTGCTACCAATGGGTAGTTTCTCAACATGTGTTCCATGTCTTTATACCAATGTGCAAATTTACTAGATGTATTTTTTTGTATACAGTTGTAAATATCATTTAAAATAAATAAAAAATAAAAAAAAAATTTATTTTGCTGTTTTGTGTGACACCAATTGAATCAGCCTTTTTCGAGATTCTACATATGTTGGTCCTATTTAGGTTTCTGTCTGCATTATCAAATTAATTACAACTTCTTGGTTCGGAAATCCTGAAATAAAACAAGTTTTATCACAATAAATTCTTAAACTCACTATATTTCATAAAAAAAAAATAAAAAATAAAAAAAAAATATGATTTTTATATTTATGTTGTTATTGGAGTCATTGTTGAATTAAAAAAAAAAAGCGGTGTCTTTGAAGCAGATAAGAAAAATTATTTCATTAAACAAATAAATATTAAATAAGCAATTATTTAGCAGAAAGGCATTATGTATAGAACAATCTAAACTATAAAACTATCAGTTACCTTGCCAACACCTCACCAATTCAGGCACCATTGATGATGCCTGAATTGGCGAAACGTTGACAATTGAACTGTTTACTTGTACATTGGGTACTCATTGTTTTAAAATTTACATTGTAAATGAACAACCTTAACCTTATCAAGTCTAATTTTCAAAAAATATATTTAAAGAACCTACACCGTAGGTCTATCGAAATCGGTACAACATTTCTTTCCACCTAGACAGCAATACTCTGTTATATAGCAGCATCCATTTGCGCATTTACTTTTTCCTGTTTATAGAATAATTAATAAATACCATGAGCAAATAATATTATTAATAAACATATAACATTCAAATTTAAAGAAATACTTCCGCTCAAGACGTTTTTAACAATATCTGAATTTTGGAAAACGTCAACATCATCAATGATACGAGCATTAGCTAAGGGATAGATCAAGATAGAGATTCCATACAATAACACTACGGCTTGCATCGTAACCCTTCTCTTATCATTTTCTGCCTGGCTCATTATAAAACCACCTTATCAGTAAGGATTAGACTCAATCTGCACAGTTATGATAGGATAATAAAAAAAGATAAATGAAATCCTCAATGATTATATATGATTATCTTATATTTCGACTAATCCTGTATCTTCTGTCATGAAACATTTAAATAAATCATCCTCATTTGATGTGTTTGATAAATATCATAGGAATTTCATTTAGAAAGACGAGTTTTCTACTTTCAATTACCTATATATAAAGTATATATATACCCACAACCTATCCGCAGGCTCCTCGTTTCCTCATTGATTTTCTCCTACTTTGACTATGGCTGTGTGGTATACGGTGGCCTCTCGTTGGAGCTTGAGGACAGACTGAAGAGAATCATGAACTGTCTTTTAAGATTCGTCTTCGGCACTTCGAGATGGTCTCATGTGTCCCACCTATATGCTGAGTCAAAGTGGATCTTTCCCTCTTCCCGCCGCCTATACTTCCTTGGAAATTTCTTATACCAAACGATCAACTCCCAACACCCTTCCTATATCTGTTGTCTCCTCCAGTCTAAACCCTTAGTCCACTCAATAAAAACGAGATCCCGTGTTTCTGACCTCTATATTCCATTCCACAGGACAAAAACCTATGAACGTTCCTTCTTAGCCCGTTCCGTCTCCTACTGGAATTCTTTGCCACATAACATCCTTCATGCCTCTTCCCTGTCAACTTTCAAATACCTCCTTTTCCAATATCTCCTTACATCCCAAACAGAAGAATTACCACCATAAATTTCATTTTATGAACTGAATTTGCGTGAAGTAAATAGTGGTGCCTACTGTTTAAGTTTTAACATAAAACAGCAATGATCTTTGTCACCTAGTTTGACTATTATTTTTCCTATTTATTTATTTTTCTCTTCTCCTCAGGTTGTGCCTTTTTTTTTTCGGGTATATATGTTCATATTTTATATCTTTGTCTTTATGTGTGCCAATACGAGAATGTAGGTATAAATAGTTCCTTTTAATTATTTTTTTTTTCGTTACACCACAAGTATCGTAAGACTTTATTTTATCTTAGTGTCTGCATATTATTATATAAACCACTGTAGATATTATTTTATTTTGTATTAAGTTAGTTTTCTATGAGATAGCCTATTGTTTATAAATTGTGTAGTTATGTATATATAAATATGTAATTTCTCTTCTTTTTTTTTTTTCATCACAATTAAGTAATTTTAAGAAGATTTTATGTTCATTTGTATATATATATATTTTATTTTTTATTTTTCACTGGTTACATACTTTTTAAATAATGTACATAATATTAAAATTTTTATAAGTTAGTTTTTGGCCAGATTTGTACTTTACTTTGCATTAACTCATCATTGTTATTCTAAAGGGACTTAGTCCCAGAATAAAGTTTAATTTTCTATTCTATTCTATTCTATATAGTAAGGGAAAGTATTGCGATCGTAAAAATTTTCGAGATGCACCAAGAGTAAAAATAACGAAGTCCCGCAAAATGGTGCGTGTGTGGTAACAGTCTAGCTCAAAAACGAAAAAAATTAAGAAAGTGAAATTGCATATTTAAGGTTCTTATATGATAGGGATGTTACAGCAACTTTTTCGTCAAAATCGGCTCACTGGAAGTAGCATCTTCTAGAACGGTCTAAACACATTTTTACGATTTTCTCGAAAACGGCTCTAACGGTTTTGATTAAATTCATCCTATCAGTGTAAAATCAAGCGGTTTTAAATAAAATGTAGTATTTATTCT